TTTTAGCAGCAGATAATGACTTGAACTGCAGAATTATGTTTGGTTTGCTCCAGGATACCACTGTGAGTGGCCCTTACAAGAGCCTGTAACAGGAAAGAGTGAAGAGAAGCAGCTGGAACTTTCATTTTCGCTCTGACCCCTCTGGTCTGCCAAGCTCACTCAGAACCTTTCCCTGAATAACCAGGGCCTTTTCTGGGGCCTTCCAAACTGAGTTGTTGGTTTCAGAGCAGAATTGCTTCCCTGCAACTCTTAACATTTGGGTAGGCTGTCTGCTCCTCCCAGGGTCCTGGTTCCAGCATCTCTTGGATTCGCCCTAATCACCCCCCTCAGCCCTCCCAGCCCACCACCTCCGCCTCCGGCCCCCTTCAGGGCTTGGCTTTGTCCCCCACTGTGCTCCATGCACAGCACCCCCACCCTTCCTGTGCCACCTCAGCCCTGGGTCCCACCTCCCACCTATGTTTTGTGAATGTTCTTAAGTCCCACGTTTGTACCCCATAGGCTTGTTTGCATCCACTACCAAAGCGGAGGGCAGTAAACACAGCTGCATAGAACTGGGGGTGGGGGGAAGAAGGATTGACGATCCCGGGGATGTTTGCTTGGAGTTTTAATTAAACTGCATTTCTTTACTTCCCTTTTTCTTTCATTTTCTCTCTCCCCAGCTGAGAATAACCACTGAGAATGGATTTTAGAAACTTGGAACATTAGGTTTTAACATTCTGCACCCAGCACCTCAGTGTAATAAATCAATCAGTAAGCTGATTGCCTTGAGTAGTTTGCTGCTGAGTGCATTGGGGTAACTTGTTCTGCAGTGAATGAATATTTCATACCATGGAACAAGAGGTCAGTGTGGGTATAGGGTTTGTCATGGCCTCTGATTCGTAACCCTGACCTTGGAAGTCATTTTTCCCAGCCATGAGCATGACTTAAACCAGCAGCCTGCCAAATGGCCCTTCCCTTCGACGGCCCTCCCAGGTTAGATGTGTCAGAAACACATTCCACGTTTGCCAGATAGTCTTGGGTTGGTTTTGAATCTGACAGGTCCTCCAACATCACATTCTTAAGTCTCACTAACAGATTGTTTATACCAACAATGCTGCCTTGACAAGAAGAAAGATTGTATGGTTTTCACTTTGGGTTAAAAACCAGAGCCAAGTTATAGCAACACACACACTTCCTAGACCCTCCAGATTAATCATGATTCTCTTACCGTGAAATACTTTTTGTAGTAGAAATTACTCGCCATTGATTGTCAAAACCTTTGATTGGAAAATTTTTTACAGTGGGAATGTTGTCATTTCTAAGATGGGCTTTCTTGTTTCATGGTGTGTTTAGACCAGTACAGTTGCCTTTCTTTTTGCAGTTGGTATGCCCCTGAAGAGTCCTTAATAAACCAAATTCTTACAGATAAATTCATGTTATATACACATGAGGAGCTGTTGTTTTAGTTTCTGGGCTCTTTGATAATTAAAAAAACTATGGCCAAGTTTGTTTGAGAAGTGTATTGCTCATATATTGGGTTTTTAACTGAAGTTATCTTAATAAGAATCAGGCAAGATTGCCGGTGGCCTTCTACTCTCAATAGTTCTGGTCCAGTCTTACAATTTATCCAACTGGAGACTGCAAAAGTTTTAAATTCTGCATTTTCTCACTATATTTAAAATGCTCACTCAGGGGCTAGAGCATCAGGTGAGGGAGAAAGGAAGCCAGGGGTCCTTTGTTAGGAATGCATGTGGCCCTATACGGGTCAGGAGGTGAGGCTGTGTCTGGCCCTTCTCTTCTCACCGTGCCCAGGACTTTGCAGTTTCCTTCCACTTTGCAGCCCCTCTACATGGTTGGCTGGAGCACCACCCTGGAGAAGGGGCACCTCTGCACATCCTCGCAGGAAAGACTAAGGATGAGATTGTAGGAAAAGAAAAGTAGAAGCCAGATTTCCAAGACCTGTATTATAGGTACTTCATCAGTGTGTAAGACACAAGCCTGAAAGAGCTAGGAGCTTGTTTCTCGGAAGATCTCTGAATCATGTACAGCGAGTGGCGAATGGGTCAGGACCCTGTTTTGAGACAGGCAGAAGGAAAAAACCCAGTCACGATATTGTCTCTAGAACAAATGAGATGTGGCGACCAGGGGCAAGTAAAGCATACCAATTGGGTGCTATCAGCGAAAAGATAACACGACACAGAATGCCAGGATCCCGACCAGGCCTCAGAGATGCAGCATAGCCGTATGTGAAAAGGGGTCTTGGATGTCTGTGGGAGGGAAAGTGGACTATGGTGAATATATGGACAAAAACAATATGAGGCAAAGAGCAACAACAATCATAGCTGGTAGCATTACATTCTCCAGTGACCAGACAAGAGAGAAGGCAGAGGGTGGACGATTCTCCTTTGGCCATTTTTATTTAATGAATGTCAGTCTCATTTCAAAGTCACACATAGTCTACAGTTTCTAAGGATAACAATTAAGCTATTCTTTTATATAAAAGAATAAAAATAAAGAAAATGCTCACTCAGGAAAATCGACCTCTGTTAGAGCCACTCCTTGCTCTTTCTTGTCTCATTCTTTCAGGGAAGGAAGTGGGGCGCCAGCTCGGAGCTGGGATCATTTGTGATACTCTGCTGGCATGTTAGGTAACTTATTCAGTAATTTCTCATGGGCCTGTCAGCCTGGAGTTCCATGATTCTGCATGTTCTGTTATCTATTTCTGTGTAACAAACCACCCCAAATCTAGTGGCTTAAGGAAGTCATTATTTCTCACCATTCTGTGGGTGGTGTAGCTCAGCTGGTTGGTTCTGAGCTGGGCTTCCCACATGTGGGTCCAGTCCAGCACTGGCTGGGGCTGCAGTCATCTGACGGCTTGACTGGGCTGCACGGTGAGGCAGCTCACTTACAGAACTGGCAGAGTCAGCTGGGCTGTCCACCAGAGCCCTTACATTGACTCTTATGCGGCTTGTTATCCCCAAAACATGGCAGTTGGGTAATGAGAGGGGGAGTCCTAAGAAAATATGCCAAGACACCCAGGCAAGGCTGCAAGGCTTTGTAAGACTGTGCCTCCGAATGCCAGAACATCTTTTCTGCCACATTCTGTTGGTCAAGGCAAGGGACTTAAGTGAGTCCAGATTCAAGGAGAAGGGAATTAGGCTTCACCTCTTCATGTAAGTTGCAGCATATGGATGGGGTCTGTTTTTCGACTAGCTACTGTGCTGTGTGCATGTCAGAAGAAGGGCATTCTCTAGGAGGAGGAGGTTACAGAAATAATGGGGGCATGAGAGGCATTGCAGTGCCATGTAGGAAGGTTATAGAACAACATGTATGAATGAATTGGCCATCCTTGCTGGTCAGAATCAGTACCAGGGAACACACATCAAATGACCCCATCTCCCTGGAAGCCTGGAACATCCCACAGAGAGAAACATTCCCATCCAGTGGCCCCAGCCCTAAAGTAGTCCAGTCATAATTCAGGATGATTGAAAAACACCTGCTAAAGGAATTTAAATAGCATGGATTTAAAGGCATATTTACCCAAAAGCTGCCCCAAGTATGTATCCTTCTTATATTAAGTCAGTAAAACCATCTTCATAAATTAGAACTGTGCATTCTTTCACAAATGTATAGAGAACTGTGGAGTAATGTATCTAACATACTGGTTTTTTAGCTCACACTGTGGAGGTGCTCAGAAAGGCTGTGCCTACGGAGTACCTTATACACCTAGAATGGATACTTTGGTGTTTAAGAAAAGGTCAAGTTCTGTCCAGGTGCTTGAAAGTCCAACTGCCTCCTTGGCCATAACGACATAGCTGCCCTGCTGGCCACACTGCGTTACGGGTATGTGGGGCCAGCTTGGAGCCCCATGTGCTGCTCCGCGTGCACTGGCTAATGGGAGGGTTGTCAGGGCTACTCTGTACCCTTGTCCCGTTGTTTCCTCACCCGCGTCTCCCCGGCAGGCCTGTCTGGCTCCCTGGGGATTCAAACTTGTGTTTATATTTTCTGAAAATTTAGAGGCAAGATAAACAACATTTCAGGCTATTTATAACCAGAGGCTGTGCCAGGAATGAGCAAGGGTTTGTATTAGATGTATGTTAAAACATTGGTGTCTGGAAAAGGTAAGGGGAATATCCCACGGTGTGAAGAGCAGATATTTAGAGGATATGAGAGATGCGTGGCCCAGACCGTGGCTCTGTGGGATTGTACTCTGTTGACCTACCAAATATTCTCTCATGGAATGTCAGGCACAGAGGATGCTGGAGATGCCATTTACATAGACCTGTATTTTTATATGAGCAGTAGGGCATTGCACCAGCCTGAGGAACATGCAAGGAGGGTCGGGAGGTGAGGGATGAGGCATCCTGTAAACCTAGAGCTCAGGGCGGTGGGCAGAGTGTGGGAGACAATGCTTCTCCCCTCGCCTGACTCCTTTCTCAAAGATTATCCTAAACAGAGGAGGTCTCTCCTGTTCCTCAGCTCCCAAGGAAGTCCACACTCTTCCTGTAACAACAGCCTAGAACTCTCCTGTCAGTTAGTCACCCACATGTAGACCCCCCATTTGCCTTTCTTCCTCACTTCTCTCTTGCCTGTAAACACTGGACAGAATCACTGTGTGCCAGATGCTGTGTTACGTGGAGGGATAAGACAGTGAACTCTCATGCTGGGAGACAGACGATAAACCAGTCAGCAACTAATATAATAACAGATTACTATTAGTGTTCTGGAAAAGTGGGCATGTGATCAAGAATAATAGGGGGTTCCCATTTGGGATTGGATGTACAGGAGATAACATTAACAATCCCAGAGTCATTGGTTAAACCTCAATGTGTATCATATAGTATTTTAAAGCTTCTCAAGTTGTGTGTTGTTAAGGTTCAAATTAGAATCATTTTTGCCTTTTCTGAGCCCAAGCCGCAGAATGCTGAATGGACAGCGATTCTGAGAGACAGAGGCAAGGCAGCCCGGATGGCAGACCCTTCCTGGCTGACCTTTTCCTCATCACCATTTCCTTTCTTTAGGCAAAGGAGATGTATTTGGAGATGTCTTCTGGAAGGAAGCCACCCTTGCCCAGTCCTGCGCCAACGTGCGGGCCTTGACCTACTGTGACCTGCATGTGATCAAGCGGGATGCGCTGCAGAAAGTGCTAGAATTCTACACGGCCTTCTCCCACTCCTTCTCCCGGAACCTCATTCTCACATACAACTTGAGGAAGAGGGTGAGTTGGCAGTTTCCATTTCTTTTCTTTGAAAAACAGGCCCTGCGCTCTCAGGTGGCCATGTGCGTCAGGAAAGTCTTTTCGCTGTTTATCTCAGTGGAGCGATTGGTTTGGTGGAGGTTCTCTTTTTTGCCTGCTCTTCAGAGAGGAATGTTGCTAGAGGAAAAGAAGCAGCAGTTTGTTGCAGAAGAGATTTGTTCATGAGTGTGCAGTGGCTTTTCCCCAACAATATCCAGACTTTGTAGCATTTTGAGAAGATGAGTAAGAAATGAAGTTGTTACTCAGTCAAATGGCTGAGAACTGAATTCTCCCTGGCCACTAGGACCCACTAAATGGTGTGAGGCCCCTTAGCCAGCTGGTAATAATACTTTTTTAAGAGATATGAAAATGATCGTGTTGGGTCCAGAAAGTAAGATACGGAATCTGATTGCTTAGAGAATAGTTTGTATAGAGCTGCCAGTTGAACCGGTTGAGAAGTGATTAGTAGTTTTAAGAACCAGAAGATTTCTCATCTGAAGGTGTTTCTTTTGCCCCCAAATCATCAGAATTGCTTCGTCTGTCTCTGTGAGGATTCAGATCTTTGTCTTGTACTCCTTAGCTTTTCCTGACTGATTTTTTTGCATTTCATCCTTCTTGTTTAGTTAACACTGTATCCATAGAATCATCTGGCTAGATTCTCATAGGAATCTTTCCAAAATTGACCTCATAATCTTCTCCCAAAACATTCTTCCTCTCCTGGTCTCTGTCCCTATTAATGCTTATATCATGCCAGGGTTCTGAGTGAGAAAGCCTGGTGTCACCCCAATGGTTCTTCCCTGTCTCCCACACCTCAGGTTGCTCATCAACAACGCCTGTTGGTTCCACATAAACTCTGAAACCTGAGTCCACATTTTGCTCCCACCCTCGGGGTCTGCCCTGAGCTCTTGGGACACGGCCCTCCTGCTACAGACCCCCCCACACCCCCATGTCTCGGGCCATGTGGTAGGCTCCCTCTTAGTGTCTGTCCTCAGTGTAGGGCTTCCTCCTTTGGGCACCTGCATGACCTGGACATCTAGTTGGGCCATGTCCATCCCCTTCTGTAAAGACTTTTGCCCCCAGCCAAACTACAGGATCATGTCTGCACACTACAGGTTGGTTTTTGTGCTTTTTTTTACATTTGGTCCAAATCTAATGCCACACCCTGACCTCTGAGCCCTCCCACCTTGAGAACTCCACACGGCTCTGCGAGCACACTGCAACATTCCTGAGCATGCACATCCCCAACCTGGGATAATCTTCTCTCCTTGTATGTGTGACGAACTCCCGCTAATCCTTGAGGCTCTGCTGAAGTGTTCAAACCCAGTCCACACTAACTAAACTAGACATGACGTCCAAAGCTGAACAACCCTCAGCTCCCCATCTCCAGGATCCTGCAGTCTCAGAGGATATCGACACAGGAAGGATGAGGGCAGTACATGGTGCTAAATACAGTGTGTGTGATTTGTACAGAGTATTGTGGGAGCATGAAGGGGAAGGGCTGCTAAAGGGGGAGTCAGCGAGAAAGTGTCGGGGCACTGGTACCTGAGCTGAGTCTAAAGGGATGAGTTTGCCAAACATAAAGGGGACACGTGTTTCAGTTGGAGGGGTAGTTTGAGCAAAGGGGCAGAGAAAGAAACCAGCCTCTTGTGTTCCAGGTCCTTTGTACAAGGTTCCAAGTACCTGTCACTGGGTCACCCTAACAATATGTTTTTACCATATTAAATCCCTTGAACTGCATTGCCTTGTGAGTCACTGCTCGGAGTCCTGGAAGGGCCAGGGCTTGGTGCCTGGTGTCCTGTGTGCCGACCCCAGTACAGAGAAGTGATACACATTTGGAGATGGCAAGGAGAAAGAGATGGGGACCCTAGACCTCAGTTTCTACATCATAAAATGTGAGGCTGTAGCTTGATGATTTTTGCGGTTTTGTAATTTGAAAACTGGTCATTTAAATTCCAGCGGGGAATGGGCAGTGGTGGAGAATCGTGTTTTCACAGTTCTTCCTTGTTTATCTGGGAACATGGAATGCCTGCTGGTAATACTTTTAGCCAAGTAGCTTCTCTGAAAGTCTATTTTCTAATTTATTCCTTCTTCTTGTGAAAGCAAGTTGATTATCATCAGCTTCAGTGTTGCTGATAATAAGTGTTGAAAAAAATGCAGTTTGGGTTGTTTTAGGGGGTGATCATCCTGGAATAATTGTGGATCAAGTCAAACTGTCTTAAGAAAACAAAGACAACAACAAAAATGATGCCTCGGTGGTCAGATTGATTTTGTAAGTACGGAATGATTGACAGCTCTTCAGAAGAGAAGACTTGGGGCCACATTTTAGAAGGGGTGTGGTGGAGGAGTATTAGGCATTGTGGGTATGACCACAAGGTGCAGAGAAAGAACCAGAGTGGCAGACAGTATAAGAAAGATCTTGGGAAAGATCAGAGCTGCCCAGTGAATGCAACAGGCAACTTTGAGTGGCATTAAGTTTCTTGTCCTGCAGGTATTTGGGCATCCCCCAGACACCCCTCAGAGACATTGTGTGGGGGCTGGGGCACCCATCAGAGAGTTATATCAGTTGACTTTCAAATTCCTTTCTGATCTCAAATGCCTATAGTTCTGGTATGAATCCAAGAGAATTTTTGTGAGCTCTTTTATATAAAGAGGTAGCTGTTCTTTTTCTTGGAAAAAAAAAAGCCTTGTGATTTTGGTATTGCCATTGTGGTCTCTCATTGTGTCCTTCTGAGAATTAATTTATAGTTACATAGGGCATAGAAGATGAAAACATTACATGCATGAATTATTCTGCAGCTAATTTTTTTTCCTGGCAAAATGAAGTGTATTCTTGTGGCTGTTTCTATCTTGGCAAAATCAAGTGTGTTATTTGCAAAGATTCCTGAGAACACAGTGCCTTCAACATCTATTGGGGGAGTTGTTGGGTCTTGTAGACCTCCTCCAGTGCACAGCAGAGAGTGTGAGCTGGAAGGGGCCTAAGGGCCATCCAGGCGCTCCTCTATTTCCCCACCACCCTCATTTCACGGATGTGACATATATAGAAAGGTCACAGAGCTGGGTTGGTAAGGGAAGAACCGGAGCCAGAAACGACTCATTGAGCAGGCCTCTTCCTGTTTCTTGCAGCTTCGTGGTATAGCCGGGCCTCTGTGCTCTAAGCCTCATTGCTTCATCCCTAAGTCTGTGTATATGAACACCGCCCAGCCCTGCTCTTGGGGCCCAACTCAGGAAGGGATCTGTCACCTTCTATTTCCTTCAAAGACACCTGAGGTCACAGGTGAGGTGGTGGAGACAGAACCTGGAGGCCAGTTCAGCATTCTGACCTTTGGTTTTCCTTGCCTATGGGCTCTGAGCCAGACGCAACCTTGGTCTGCATCCTGCCTCTGTGACTTAGTGCTTCTGCAAGATATAAATGCCTCCTCATCTGTAAAATGGAATGATGAAAAGTTCTACCTTGTAGGGTTAATTGTGAGGATTGATAATAGTGCAAAACTCAGGCACAGGGTCTAGCACATAGTACATGCTCAATTAAACCATGGGCTATTATTATTTTGTCTACTTATGCCCTACTCCACATTACTCTTTATTATCTTGTGCCTTTTGGAAAAGAAAAAGAGGGCAGTTCCTCTGCTTTTGCTCATAAAGGGACTCACTCTGCAGAATGTTCTTCAGGGTGGATGCTATGCCAGGGTTCCCTGCACCTCTTACAGCAAAGGGGAAGAATTCCATGGGAAGAATTAGGCTGTTTTGACATCTTAGGTTCAGTCACCAGGGAGCCAGGGTTTTGAGAAGAGGAAAGCAAGTGACATGTGGTCATCCATGAAAAGAAGGGGCTGTGGAGCCTTTCTCATCCCAGAGCCCAGACTCTCTAGGGTGCCAGAGTCTCCGGGCAGCTTGCCCCAGGCCCTGAGTTTATCTGCAGTCAGAGCTTTGTACACTATTAATAGTCACATTATTACCAACTCCAGATATTGTGCCAACTGCGTCACAGTATCAGTGTGGGTTAAGTCAGAGCACTCATGACGTTACAGTACCAGCCCCACTTCTCACGGGATTAGCTACGATCCTGTGGAGAAGACACTCACTTTGCCAAAGTCCCCCAGCCAGTAAGCGACAGATTCTAGACACTGCATGTGCCCCTGCGGAGCCCCACCACGTCCCGCACTGGGACTCCGGTAAGTACAGTGCTCCACTCCCCCATGTGGCGTTCTTCGGCTTCTGCCTTCTCCCTGTCTGTTGACTTCTCAGGGGTGGCCCAGGTTGTCTCTTAAGTATCTCCAGTGGGCTTCGCTATCCCCCCAGCACACTCAGAAACTTGTGCAGATCCCAGTGATATCCCAGCGTGGCTGACACGAGTATTCCCTCACAGTGACAGCCACACCACTGCTGGGTGTGCTGGGGAGGCACGGCACACTTCACTCTGAACAGGCAGCAGGCCAATCTGGACATGAGGTTAGCAACTTAACAAAAAAGAGTGCCAGCTTTGGGGCTGAGGACCTAGGTGTGAATCCTGGTTGTGACTACTGACTAGCCATGGGCCTTTGTGCAGTTACTTAACTGTTCTAAATCTCAGTTTCCTCGTCTATAGAAAAGGTCTAATAAAAGTCCCACCCAATAATTAGATTTATTGAGAAGATCACATACACTAAAACAAACAAAAGGGACATAGTATGTGCAGGAACCACCCAATACGTATTTGTTCCCTTCTCCTCCCCAGCACCTAGCCTCTCCCTCCATCTTCAGTCTTGGAGGTTCTGAGTTTATGTTTTGTTCCCCTCTGTTTATAATCAGACCGTTTCTTTAATCAATGTTCCTCTCCTTTCAGCCTGGGGTGAGGTTTCCCTTCCCAGGTGCTAGCTAGGAGATTGTGTCCTCCTGTTCATGGTTAAGACAGTAGAAGAATGTTCCACAATTAAATGGTGTATGGCAGACAAGCAATTAGGTGATTAACAGCAGTCAGTGCATGGGATAATTGGCATGTAGGT